ATCATTCTGATCATCTTCAAACTCAGGTTCTGATTCCAGCATGTCTTCATCATAGACATCAACTGAGTGATTATAAGAAAGACAGTAATAATTAAAGGCCTCTGTAAAAGAGGGTCAAGGAATGGGGAGATCAACAATCTTGAGATCTTCAATTTGATGAAAAGAGTGATGAAGAAGAAGTTTGACATGAGCATAGTTCTCTGAATTAGTTTCAAACTGATAAACAGAAAAGTAGATCAACACTCAGAATTTTACACAGAAACATCTCTTAATTTGATAACTGTGAGAAAAGATTTGAAGAAATTTAAGAAATGAAAGATCTTCAAATTCAGTTGATCACTGCTTATATTTTTTCAAAAAGAATGAATCACATTGTAATTCATCAGATTCAAGAATATAGCTATGATAATGTTAAGATTCAGGCTGACAATCAACTGCAATTGACTCATGAGAACTCATTTGTAAAGAAAGATTTAAAAGAAGATGATAAATCTTCTGAGCAGATCAATTGCACTCATCAATGAGTTGATTCATAAGTTTAACAACTGTAGAGAGCAGTGAGTGACTTGAACTGACTCTTAGAATCACTCATTGAACAATCTGATGATAGAATTCTGTGTCTGTTTCAGCCTTGGCAATGTACTTAGACAGATAATCAAGAACAGCACAGCTGTCAGTGCAGAGAATAATATCAGTATTTACTAGCCAGCTAACTGTAATTAATCTGTTGTAGTTATTGAGAATTGAGTCATTATAATGAGAGTGCAGCTGGTAATATCTACTATTCAAAGATTTGAGAATAGCATAGTCAGTTCAGCATTCATGTAGAAAGTGAAATCAGCAATGTAGATTATCAGTGACTCAGTGTTTATAAATACAGTACTTTTCACTACAGTGATGATGTTGAATACAGTTGAGAACTGCAGATAAATGTTCAATAACATTCATCTGATCAGAATGACTGAGAGAAAGAGATGATCATGCATCTTCAGACTGAGTGTGATTAGGCTCAGAATTCTCAGTCATAATAATGAGGCCTCAGTAGTCAGCAAAGACTTGATAAGAGTCTTTATTCATATCAAGTTCAGGATTCAGTGCATTCTTACATTAAAATACACTATGTGAGTGCACTGATCTGCAGTCTTATCACTTGTAATGAGTTCAGTGATCTAGGATTTTGAATTTCAGGCCTAGGATCTTTTCCTTGAAGATTGCAAGTTATAGATGAAAGTAATGTGTGACTATAGTGAAATAGTCATGAATACTATCTCTTACAAACTTCAACCTCTCAAGATCAGTGCTGTGCTTTTAAATAACATAGTCAGAGAAGTGATGTATCAGATTATCTCAGTGATGATCTGCAGCTAAGAGAGTAAGAAATAGATGCAGAGATCTGATATTTTAAACATAGACTTATAGCTGACAATGTTTTGCACCTTAAAAAGAACAGGTTTTATGAAGACTCTCTGCAAACTGTGTAAGTGAATTCAAAATCACAGTAAATTGTGAAGTATCAGCAGTAAAAGCAGTCTGCAGCTTCTCTAGAGTGAGATTCTTAATAAGAGAATCAGTTTAATTGTAGAAAAAGTGACTCTGATTATTAATCTATCTGCAGAATAGAGAATTGAAAAGAATATATTGAAAACAGCTATAGTAGGCAAAGCAGCTGTTATGATATTTAAGAAGAAACTGTGTGTAATCTGCAAGACTAATTGTTCTTTATCTAGAGAGAATGAATTCAGCTTTATCTCATGAAAAAAGTGTTGAAAAGGCTCAAGAAAAGAGTGAATGAGTATTGTTAAACTCACTAAGTGATGTATTACAGACTGAAGACAGAGTGAGATGATTAATCTGTTCTCACTGTGACATTTCAAGTTCATGATGAAGTTACTCAACTTCAGACTGTGAGATTAAAAGATCTGAAACATCAGAGTATTCAGATGAGATATTCAAGTTATCAAGATTCAAATGATTCTCATTCTCAATAACTGTCAATTCTTGCTTATTAAGCTTATAAAAAGAAATCTGATCAGAGACATCTTCATTTTCAGATAACTGATTTCAAGTCTCTTTGTCAATCACAATGTTCTGATAACTGAGATGATTTTTATAAAGATAGATTAGTCATTGAGCAACAGCTTCTTTGCAAATCATGAAATCTCAGTAAAACTGATATTGTAAGTAAGAATCTGCATTTGAATTTGAAGACTTCAATATAATAACATCAAGATTCTTAGAAAGAAGTGAGAGAGTGTTATAAACACAGTCAGTGTCTCTAAAAAAGCTAATAATATAATCTTTATACTTATACTGATGTTCTCTGACTTGACAGATCTTAATAAAGACATGCATGTATGAAATTAACATCTCTTCAATCTGACTGAGAATAGGAAGATCTGAATCAAGATTATCAGAATTAAGGTTATTCTCTTGAGAGAATAAAAACAGCTTGTCAGACAGCTGTCTCAAATCAACAGTATGACAATGAGTATAAACATTATCTTGAAGATTCATTCTGAATCAGTGAATTTGACAATGACTACAGATCTTCATCTGTAAATCTTCAAATATGTAATGAAATTTCTGTATACACTGTTAATCATCAGAATTAACAGCTGAATCTGTAAGATAAGTAGAACTCTGAGAGTTCATTGAAGAATCTGAAATAATTGCAGCATGTAACTGATTATATTTCTGAAGAATTGTGAGAGCTTCTATATTTAATGTATCAATTGAGCTTTCAGACTATGTAGAGTGTCAGAATGTCAAGAGGCTGCTAACTCTTTTATTGAGTTAATTAATGAATGAATCTGCAGAGCTCTGAGAAACAGAGCTTTGAGAAGTTGAGAGTAAGAAAAATAATATAAAAGATGTCTGTGATGAAAGTATGTCTGTAAAAGTGAAATAAGATTGACTTGAGAATGAGTTGAATAATAATACAGATAATTAATGAAAGACTGAAGAGAGATCTGCAGAATCAGAAGATAAATTAATTGTCAAAAATAACAGCTGCAGCTGTTTTCTCAATTGAGTTAAGAATAAAGTTGATAAGAAATGTTCTCTATAATACCTGATAACACAGTGAGCTCTTTAAATGACAGTTTTCTTTTTATAAGTCACTGTCAATGAAGACATGTCAGAACTATGAATCTCACAGTGATAAAACTTAATCTCAGATAACAGATCTGTTTCAATAGACTGTTCATAAGCTTAAGAGACTGCTGTTGATTGTATGAAGTGTTAGTATAACAGAGAAAGTTCAGGCTCATTTATCACAGAATCTGTAACTGTAGAAGAATCTGGTTTCACTGCATGTATCTGTTTACAGTTCTACACAGTGTAAAGAGATAATCAGCAATAGAAAAGATGTAATGAGAGAAGATTACAATACCTGAGTTCTCTGAGTGCAGTATTGAAGACAGACAGCTGTAGAAGTAGTAGAATGCTGTAAAGAAATGAATTAATCAAGAGACTGGTTTTATAAGCAGTGAATGCAGGCTTTTAATGTATTATTCATTCTTGAGAATCTATAAGAGATAGTTAATGAGATGTGTGATCTATAATTCAAGAATCTGTACAGAGTAGGTAGTTGATGAGATGTGTGATCTATAATTCAAGAATCTGTACAGAGTAGGTAGTTGATGAGATGTGTGATCTATAATTCAAGGATCTGTACAGAGTAGATGGTATGGTTGATGAGATGAAAGATGAATGTGTTGTGGGTGTGTAGAAGTCATAGTGCAATGTCACAGGATTGCGCTTCGCTTAATTCTACACCAATCAGTGGGCTGTATTCGCGCCAAGAACCCCAAAAAGGAAATTCTCCACTTTTAATGACCAGGGTTTTCATCATATATTTGCTTCGCTTCGCTCCGCAAATAATTCAATCCTTGTGTGTCGCGGATACCCGGGTGGGCCATGTAGCCTACAATATACCTGTGTCAATTATGTCTTTATGGCCTTTTAAATGGATACATAGCTCTCGTCTGCTAGCCATGTCGATAAATATCCGCTTGTTTGACGAGCACATCTTTCCATAGGAAAATTTCTGCGGACTTCTATTAGTTATCAGTTGCTAGATCAGGGAAAAGGAAAATCTAAAATCCCTACCCTAATTTTCATTGGATGCATTCCTTTTCGATTCTCTGAAAACTCTGTTATAGTAGAACAACCTATATATCGCAACCTCTCTGCGAACATACGTAACATCAGAACACACAGGCGGGAAGGGCGACAGGGCTAGCCAGTTAATCGGACACTTTATTGAGTTCTATGGTCTCCCATGGCCCCCCAACCCAATACGGACTTTCTAAGATATCTTTGATCCCGTTGGCATGAGTTTGCCCGCCTAATTGGGCATATTAAAATCCACTCGCTTATCTTCAACTCCTCTCCTGACGGGAGGAGTTTGGGTAGCACTCGACCTATTATGCGCATATATTAATTTGAACGCACTTGTTCGAGCTATAACTATACTATTGCGCGTCACATTATGCAAAGGGCGAAGGGTCCCGATGCCTCAAGAACCCTCCGTCCTCTTTCATAGCCTCCTGAAAAGAGCCTCGCATTTTGCCTGCCAACGGCAATCCTAACGCGGCAGAAGCTGGGCGTTTTAGCCGTTTGAGCCGGTGGCACAAATACGTACCAGCAGCTCATATGTTTTGTAAAATAGTCATCGTCGGGAAACGAAATCGGGTAGAGCAACGCACGCAATCTCTGAACTTTCCAGTTCCTACCCGCCTTATGTACGTGTGATTTCGAGGTGCGATAAGGTCGTGTTCAGCAAACGGGAAGACACAATCTGATTTTTTTTTTCTTTCTTTCTTTCCCAATCGGATTAATTCAGCGCCAGAAAATATAATATAATTGAGAAATGTAGCCAACGGAAAACACGTCGTCGGTTAATGGTCGCTCGTGGACCTTTATAGCCCATTTGCTAAGATGCAGGGTGTTGTGGTGGCGGAAATTTTGTGTCCCACGTTTCGCAGAATTTAATTAGGGAAATTTCGGAGGATATAATAAACACCTCTTTCCCGTCCTATGAAAATCAGGCTCCTTTTCAGACTGCCGGCATGGTTTTTTTTAATGTGCCCTCTCTGCTTCAGGAAAGGGTTTCTCGGCAGAATTCGCCTTATCCGGGAAGTGCTACGATCGGTCAATGACTATCGTGCTTCATTCAACCTGAGAGGAACAGGTGTTCGTTCGAGCCATACCAAAATACCCGAAATCTCTGCTGATTTGGTCTCAGTTTGTCATGGTTCGTCAGGCCCAGGGAGGCGTGGTGATATGCGGTGGCCGTCGGATATGCAATGGGAATTCAAATTGTCCCCATTTGCTTGTTCCCCTCTGCCCTGGAATTTCCAACGATATCCTTGGTGGCTTGTATATGCCATCTAAACTGTGGCGGCGATATTCCGATATGCATTTTCAAATATGTGGTTTACAAGGCCCTATCATAGAGCTCTTCTGGTGGGATGTTTTTATGCGCCTGCAATCGCCGTAAACGATGCAAAATGGTAGGCGCGTTTGAAGAACTGTAACCGTCTATCCTTCCCGTTACCTCAGTCCACAAGAAAAATATAAAATAAATAAAAAATAAAAAAGGGGGACAAAGAACGAAATATGATTTCAAGCTTACAAACCTACGCTTGAATTGGTTGTTGCTTGGATAGGGTAAAGACTATTTGAATGTGTCTTCCCTTCTTATGGAAGTTTTATCTCCTGGACAATCAAAATCCATGAATTCGAGTTACAAATTCGATGTTTCAGAGATTTTTACCTGCGTCGTGTCTCTGGCTAGACACAAGAAATCCAGCTTCATACAGTTATACGATATGATGGTGATATCTCATTCAGGATACGCTATGTTAGGGATCCTAACGTCCCGAATGACTATAAAAAAATTGAATGCTGGCGTATCTCAGCACTATTGTGAAAGACAAGGGTGTTGAAGTTGTAAAGATTTGAACCCTTTTTCCACCCATTTCCAACATCTATTCCTCTGTCTACGTCCATCTAGCAGATTGCGGGTCTTTTTAAATCCCATGACAAGATTTCAATCTGGACATGTTATGATCTTCTAACCTCATTCCCCTCATTGTTTGACTATGTCATCTATTTAATCTCGTGTAGTGTGGTCAAGGCAAAAATATTGTCTGCGTCACCACATTTGGTGAGACCGATGCCTCACCAGCGATAATCTCTTTTATCGTCCATGATTTATATCCACCGTTCACCACCTACCATTGCCTTGGTTCTTATATAGATAAAGCTATAGAGCAGCCCCGCGAGCATCGTGATGTCGCTGAAACGGAACCTTCGGGGTTTATTTGGTCTATTTCAAAGTTCCAATCAATATGTCCATGGCTCGCATTGAGTTTGTTTTCAAATATCCGACAGAATATCCGGCAAAATATCTGCTTCAAGCCGCTTCTGGGGGGTTGTAACATCTCAGGTGGTACTCGCGAAGATTCTGCTCCTCAAGGACAACGCGCGGTGGTGTCATGGACCAAAAGCCCCCGAGCTTGCATGAACAATAGACGAAATAGTCTAAATTCACATGGTATGTAGGTATCGAGACTGGTCATTCACTGCTTGCAGCTGTCTTGCAGTTTTTGGTGTGCGTCAAGCATACCTGGGTTGGCGTACTTGACGCAATGCTTTTGATCTCGTCAGCCGCATTCACCTTGCGTCGTCTATAATATGGAATGCAATTGAGAGGGCAAGAGTGCGATAAGTGCACCAGTTGTCAAAATATGGCGGATGCCCATACACTTACCTCCTTATAATCCATTTCTGACGTCATTAGGAGGAAGCTCGACCATTCGAAGTAAATACACCGCACAAGGAAGTTCGGTTAGTACCACACCAGCGAAATGGGATAGAAACTAGCCAAACAGCTGAGAAGCTTGCTAGATCACGACTCCGACTAAGGGTTCCAGAAAGTGAACGGGGAACTATGCTTCCTTATTCAACACCAAGTCCAACTTATCTTATAGGGGGATTCATCCAATGGTCTCGATTATTATAGATGATTTACCACAAGTTAGCGATGAGGATTAGGACTCAGCTGGACCGCCGAACGACGCCATTCGAAACAAACTCGAAACCGCTTCACTTACGATGCGTGGCTGCTGGGTGGGCTTTATACGGACAACCACACCACTGTGGTAGAACTTTGGCTAGTCCCTTCAGTGTCCGATCGCGTGTAGAATTTCCTTGCCAATTCAGAGGGAAAACATGGTCGTGGTCCCGTACAAGCCGATCAAAAATAATATCTAATCCGCTCTGGAATTGTCGCTGCCTTTACAAAGCCTTCATGAAGCCGTTAGAAATAGGCGAGGTTAAACAGGAACCTTGGCTATTTGCAGCATGGTGTCAAGCCTTCAAACGGATGTAAATGTACATACATACATGTACACGGCAGTCCTGTTTTTATAAAGGTTAAGTTTCCTGCAATTTCACTCTCTATCATGCTCGCCGTGAACATTCGATTCACAACAACACAACGCACAGCCATAAAACATTGTGCCCAGCTTCTGACAATGTATAAGTGATGAGTTGGCATGATGGTGACCTTGATAGAACGTCGTCTTCTCTAAGGAAATTTTTGCGCACTTTCTTTCTGAGATGGGCTCTTCTGGCAGGTGACATTCCAAGATTGTCCTCATAGCAGCGCGGATTTCTCAATGCCAGCCTGTCCACACGCAACCATTCTCCAGCGATCCGGAAGAAAGGGATGTCATTTACAGTTGTGCGTGTAGCCGCTAAGACAGCTATCAGATAAGGATGCCTCGCTGGAGGATTCCTACAAAGATCTGCCCGCAGGCACCATAAAAATACGGTTTCAGGCAAGGAAAAAAAGGATCCTGCATGCACCGCCCGAAGCTCTCACTAGAGTGTTTGACGCAATTTGTTCATGACTGACGTACTGCCTTTCTCGAATAAACATTCCAAACCTAGTGGCAAGCTGTATCGCGGTGGTGAACAAGATACGCGACATCTATATCAGATCCCTCAAAAAACCAACATGGCTGATAACACCACAATCAGGATCCAGTTCCTGGCCATGCAGGCGCTTTTTTTTTTTTTTTTTTTTTTTTTTTTTATGAAAGGTACGCCGCAAACCACAACGATATCTGCAGTTGATTCAGTCTCGGGGAGTTTGCAGCTGTGACTTACATAAGTACATGTACGTCGTATCAGGGCGTCGTAGCTATGGCTTCTGATAACTGCCATTGTCGAGGCCTTAGCTCACTTGCTATGAAGACAGTGATGCTTTAAGAGTTGGGTTTTTACGTTTCTCAGTTTATCAACTAGCATACTTCTCATGGGTGCTTCGTGTAATCGACAAGCTCCATGGAGTTTCTATATCATAGAAGAAGTAGTGGACAGAACAGACCTTGCCTCGATATTTCCGATCACTGAATCACTGAGAGAGAGACACACTAAGTAGCACGCTCTGATAAGAGACTTGTTGTTCCTCGCCACCGCGGTCTACTCAAGAACAAACTGGGGTGGTTCAATAGTGGAGAAAAGATGTTGGTCCGATATCTAGATGAGAGTGCTGTTGAGGGGTAAGCCAGGTATGGCATATATGTTCCTTTCAGTTTTTATGGTTCATGGTAGTTATATATCAATTGCTTCTGAGGCTGAACATTAACCCCGACAGCTTTGAATAAATTCTGAATTGCAATTGCAGCAATTCCCTGTGAGATCCTCGTGGTGCTTGATCTTTGTGCAGCATACGGAGTAGTTACAGAAGAATACTTCACTAGTAGCTTTTTGCGTTCATATGAATCCAGTGTAGGAGTAACTAACTAATATGCTTCAACTCCTCCGTATGTCAACAAATATCTTTTCCTGGTCAGGTTTGTACCCAGAACACACAGCGTACAACTAATAATAGCGAATACCCACACACTACGGAGTAACTACACTATCCATGCCCTAGCCCGTAAACAAGCTCGCCCCTGGTAGCCGCAGCCCAGCCAACCGCCGTCCATAAATACGGATAGCTCGACTTAACTCCTCCTTGGACCTTGCCTGCTCTCACTCAGGGCGCGTAATATTACCAGGCACAGCCGACGCCAACCTAACCTTGATTGAACTCCTGAACCCGGGCTGGAGGGCAAGCGCAAGCGCAAGGGCAATTCAGGGAGTGGATGTAACCTCGCGCAGAGAAAAACATGGACTGCGCAAATAACAAGATCTGATTCCTTGTTGGACTTCTTCCTGCAAAGTAAAGACGTCTTTCTTCCCCTTCCCTACATCACGCTTCGGCTCTTTTTTTGGTGGGTAGGATTTCTCTATTTCTGAACTACTCTGGCCTAATTATCCACACCCCACCCCGTCCACTTTTTCACCAATTGACTGCGTATCTGGGGAGGAACGAGAGAGAGAAGGGAGCAAAAAAGGCACAATGCGCTGGTTGCAGGGCACTCTCATCTGCGCCCTTACCACTGCGCTGGGGGGAAGTAGAGTGGGTGCAAGTGCGCTGTTGAAGACGAGACAGGGGAATCATGGTTCGTTTGTTAACGCCCCGTGTGTCACCCCTCTCCAATTTATAGAGGAGAGGGTTGCATTCTGAAGGGAAGACAAAAAGAAACTTATACCAACATGTCTTTGCACATAGTCACCGCTCGTGCGCCACAGGATGCCGATTCAGATAAGAACGGCGTATATCCTCCCGAATGCCACGTACAGCGCGAATCGAAGTATCCATTCTGCCTGCCGAAGAATAAAACTGAAGTGTTTACGGGGGATATATACTATGGTACGCAAAAAACAAACACTCTCCCAGATGGTGTGACATTTTCAAAGCGCAAAGAGCTGCTCTACCTCTTCGCGACAGCGGACAAGATCATTCATTGCTTACCACTATAATGCGTATGAAACAGTGACCTGGGACTCAGACGCATTCCCCCCAAACTCCACGATCACCGTGGGGCTCAACTATGCCAACTCCAGCGAAAAGGCAGGCGTCTCCGCCTACACATCTGACCGGCGAGAAAACAGCTACGGCTTCGTCACGATCCAAATGGACAAAGTCTGGTTGCAGGGCGAATCGCGCAATAACCTAACCGTGTACATCGTCGAGTACAACCCAGGTTCAAACGAGCGGGCCAAGACGGTTGCAGGGCCCATGATTTCCCTCATCAATAAACCTGGCAAGCACCATCCGCCTCCCCCACCCACCCCAGTGCCCGATAAGGCGGGCCTCACGATCGGATTGCCGGTCGCGCTCGGGGTGTTTTTCCTTATCTTGCTTGGGCTGTGTTTTGGCATGAGGAAGAGCAGGCGTATTGGGCTAGGGAATATTATGGGGTCTAGGGGTAAAGGGTATGGAGGTGGGAAATCCAGGATTGAAAGGCTAGGTGGTGGTGGTGGTGAACGAGGGAGACGACGTGATCGCGATACTGCTGCTGCTGCTGCGACTGTCAGGCTGGCTGAATTGAATGATGGAGAGCAATACATGGATGACCCACGAGGCGGTAGGATTAGGAGTGATGCGGAAATATTCAATGAGTCGGAAAGGGCCAGAGGGAATGTATTCAGGGATGAGCTGTCACGGATGAAGAGCTGGAGGTGAAATGTTTAACTTTGCCCGGCTGTTGATCCTCTGATGAAGGATGGTGGAGTCGAAACACTCTCTTCTCTTGCAGAGGAACAAATATCCTCCAGAAATTTTATGGTATGGTTGGACATGAAAAGCTTTCCTGCGTATAGATATTGACTGCCACAGAGACAGTCCGTTGGTTGATCTGCTTCTTCTCATTCTGGTAGGGTTTTCCGTGACATTTTATTAACGAGCGCAGGGGCATGGCATTGCATTTTCATTTGTATATTAATGATAGGAATAGACGTATGTTATTATATATGCTTTCTCTTTCACATGGGAATCATCTCAATTGCTTAGTTGTTATATTTCTATCCTGTTATCTTCCCATGAAGTTCTTCGTTGCCGGGTGAAGAGAAATTTGTGGCGTGCTTCGAATGCGATGCGATAAGCCGCGGAAACAAGGGATTGTCAACGCTAAAGAAAAAAAATTTAAATTTTTAAAAAACTTTGTTCTTCACAAGCCAGGTATTATTTGAATGCCTGAATGCCACAGCGGCGAAAAGGAAGTTCAATTTTCTCTCATTCATCTATCTATGTATCTATTCCTGGTACAGTACATTAATTAAAGGAAGAAATAGTTATAGAAACCAGAGACTGCTTACACTGATCGGCGGGCTGGTGGAAGGTATTGTGTTTGGTATTGTCTGGTAAACATTGCTTATGAATTACCGTAATAAACCGCTGTGAGTGGCCAAAGATGCGCACATCGAAGAAGTTTCCCACAGTTTTGCCGCCGTAATTACCGTATTTTGTCTTTTTTCTTCTATTTTTTCCTTGGTGATTCACAGGTAACTAAACTAATAACTACGAGTCAGACCGCGGTTGCTGTGCGTGTAACTACCCCAGAACTTTCCCTCATCCTCTTCTTCTCATCCTCAACAACCTCATCAACTCTCTATATTCTCCTTTTTACTTCTTATCTTAGACTTCTCCCTTTAGAATCCTTACACCCTTCGAGTCTATCCGGATACTGCTGTTGATCAGCCTTACCGCACACCGCACCTGTCTCCTTCGCCCATCCTCACCACTCCCCGCCAACACACTCTTTACACCCCGCACAACGACAAAATGTGCACCACCTGTACAGGAGCCAAAGCCACAAACGGCCAAACCAACGGCCAGGTCAATGGCACCAATGGAACCAACGGTACCAACGGTATATCTCTCCCATCGTATACTGGTGTTATTTGGGGGATAATTTCTTTGCTGACCGTGTCAAGGTATGGTCACTAAAGACGGATTCACCGCGGTGCAGACCCGCGAAAACCCACACCCACACGTCGCCCGGAATCCATACGGCCACAACGCAGGAGTAACAGACTTCCTGAGCAATGTGTCAAGATTCAAGATTATCGAGAGTACGCTCCGCGAGGGCGAGCAGTTCGCCAATGCCTTCTTTGATACGGAGAAGAAGATTGAGATTGCGAAGGCCTTGGATGATTTCGGTGTGGATTATGTGAGTCATAACCGCACGTTTTTTTTTTTTTTTTTTTTTTTTTTTTAATTTTTTCCCTCTTTTTCTCAACAGTATATTCTTGGATTGGCTATAACGCTTCATTACTATTATCACTATCGTATCATTATCATCATTGATATCGTTTTATACTAATGGCAATTGATGCGTAGATTGAACTCACCAGCCCATGTGCTTCAGAACAATCGAGGAAGGACTGCGAAGCGATTTGCAAGCTTGGATTGAAGGCCAAGGTATGTATACATAACATCTATGTGTGAATGCCGCTTGCTCCTGCGTATCTAGAACTAACCCTCAAACCCCCGCTATAGATCCTTACGCATATCCGATGCCATATGGATGATGCCCGGGTAGCTGTCGAGACTGGTGTTGATGGAGTGTAAGCATACCATACCCTTTTATTTCCATTTCCAAGGGCAAAGCATCTGTCTAATACTAAGTCAATAGTGACGTCGTTATTGGCACTTCATCGTATCTCCGTGAACACTCACACGGAAAGGACATGACCTACATTAAGAATACGGCGATCGAAGTCATCGAATTCGTCAAGTCCAAGGGCATTGAAATCAGATTCTCCAGTGAAGACTCATTCCGATCCGACCTCGTCGACCTCCTCTCCATCTACTCTGCCGTCGACCAAGTCGGCGTCAACCGCGTCGGTATCGCAGATACCGTCGGCTGCGCTTCGCCACGACAAGTTTACGAGCTCGTTCGCGTCCTCCGCGGCGTCGTCAAGTGTGATATCGAAATCCATCTCCACAACGACACAGGCTGTGCCATCGCCAACGCCTATTGTGCCCTCGAAGCCGGCGCGACGCACGTCGACACCTCCGTCCTCGGCATCGGCGAGCGCAACGGCATCACGCCGCTCGGCGGCCTCATGGCGCGCATGGTCGCCGCGGACCGCGACTACGTCAAGAGCAAGTACAAGCTCGAGAAGCTCAAGGACCTCGAAGACCTCGTCGCCGAGGCCGTGCAGGTCAACATCCCCTTCAACAACTACATCACCGGCTTCTGCGCGTTCACGCACAAGGCCGGCATCCACGCCAAGGCCATCCTTAACAACCCGAGCACGTACGAGATCCTCAACCCAGCCGACTTCGGCATGACCCGCTACGTGCACTTCGCCTCGCGCCTGACGGGCTGGAACGCCATCAAGTCGCGCGCGCAGCAACTGAAGATCGAAATGACTGACACCCAGTACAAGGAGTGCACGGCGAAGATTAAGCAGCTAGCAGATATCAGGCCCATTGCTGTTGATGATGCGGATAGTATTATCCGCGCCTATCATCGGAATATCAAGCTGGGTGAGAATAAGCCGCTGTTAGAACTTACTGCTGCGGAGAAGGAGGCTTTGGCGGAGAAGGAGAAGGAGGAAGCAGGGAAGGTGGTGGAGGTTCCTGCGTAAAAGCTAGAGATGATTTACCCAGTGGGGGGGGAGGTAAGGAGGGGGGAATTTATTTCCGAAAGAAACAAGAAAACAAAAATAAAAATAAAAACCATCAATCAAAATTAAGATCGGATCATTCGACGAAATCGCTAAAGCAGGCAGATAGACAGAGATTTGGAAAGGGAAAAGATATTTTCTGTTTGGCTATGGTTTTGATACATCTCTTGATCAGTTCCATTTTCTATTTTGATACCTTCATTTTATCCTTTGACCTTATCATTTTTCTTTTCCTTTGCTTTCTCTTTTTCATCCTTTCATTTGCTCTTTTGAAATACATGAATAAAGAAACAGGTTAGAAGACAACAGAGAAGTTCAAAAAGGCGGAAAAGATTCGCAGGCGCGCACACACGCACAAGCATCATTACATCCACTTTTCTTCAAAAGCCGTCTTCCCTTTTTCTTCTTCTTTTTTTTTTCTTTTTTTTTTCGCCTTTGAGAAAAGGAGAGCTTGGGTTCTATTCTTCTTGCACCTATTCCTCCCATTTCATTTCTCTCCTAGTCTTTCAGCTTCTTAATACATGTATCTCATCTCTGCTGTCCTTTTCCCACAGCTATTTCATTTTAAAATTGTTTTAAAATTGTTATTCTAGCTTTTATTTCTTTTTGTCTTGTCTATCTCTCTCTCTCTTTCCATCCATTTCCGCCTTGAACATCAATCATCATCACCAGAGAAAAAGGAAGGAAAAAGAAAGAAAGAAAAATAAATATATATATATATATCTATATATATAACATTGTGTCCCTCCAAATTTCAAATCCTCAATTCAATTAATTAAACCTTAGGAATCCTCGTCTTCTTACTCTGTTCGTACCCCGTAGAACGTCAACAACAACAAGAGGACGAACGAGAATGCAACAACCAAATCTCCGCGCGTGGTCATAGCCCGACCCAGCGCGTGTTCTTAACAACAAGAGCAGCAAAGACCGACTTCGGCCTGCCAAGCCCAGTCGCCCAAAGCGGTCTAGCGGGATGGGCCATCCATAACAGCGTAAGTAGTCCGTACAGTACGCAACAGTAAGCTCGAGCCACCCCCCCTTCATACATACCATAGCCTTGGGCCCCAAGCAAGGCCTCGTCCTCTACTCCGTACCAGTTACAGGATTACAGCGGAGTTATGGAGTTATGGAGTTGTGTGTGGGTGTGTCCTGTGCTGTGGTGTGTGCTGTGTGCTGTGCAGTGTGCAGTAGTAGTAGTAGTAGTAGTAACTAGTAGTTAGTAGCGCGGTTGCAGCACCGGCGCCGGCTGACGTCACTTTTGCCCACTGTGGCTGGACCGCGGTCGCTTGGATAAAAAAGGAATAATTTTAGTAAGTTAATGGAGGCCATGGATGGGGCTCTGGCTGGGCTAGTTCGGGGGGACTAAGTTGGGTTCCTGCACGGTGACGGAATTGATCCACACACATCCACCTCCACTGAACTAGGTTTTGGATGTTTTAGATGTTTGGGAATTATATCTCGGAATGAATGAGGCTTTTTCGTGGGCATTGGAAAAGAAAAAAAAAAAAAGAAGGGGGGTGGGTGTGGGTTGAAGAAGAGATATATATATATATATTTACCGATCTCGGGATAAGAATTGTTTGCTTTTCTTCACGTTCCTCTTTATTTTCCCGGGCAGTCTCCCCTCTCTCCTCTCCTCTCGCTACAAGCGCTGGATGCGACACAAAAAAGAAGTGTGCGAATAGTAGCGGTGATAGTGGTGTTGGTGGTGGTGATAGTGGTGTTGGGGGAGTGGTATATCTCCTCTATCCCATTTGTCACCATTTCCCATAACTTCTTTCAATATTATTCCCCCCCCCAATTCATAAGCCAACCAGCCAGTAAGCCAGAGCAGGCCTGGACTCATCGAACCAACCACCAGGAACTATTTATTATCTATTATTATTATTATTGGGGAAGAAAACACTCTACTCTACCCAGCCGGAAGGGATATATACATCACCCCCTGCCGGGCCGGGTTCCTGATGGGATGACCGTCTCCATCCCACCTATCCCATCCCACACAACAGTTGGCAAATCACAAATCACACAATTGAATTTTACCTAGGCAGGGTAGGGGCCGGGGCGGGGGGAATGGCAAGGAAGAGGGAGAGAAGAGAGGAAGAGGATGCGGTGAGAGATATGATGAAATGCACCAATGCCATTCCCCTCACCCCTCCATGAAAAAAAAAAAAAGTAGAATAAAAACAATAATAGAAATGAAAAATATGAAGAGAGCTAGAGAAATGCAACCCAACTCATACAGAAACATTTTTTCCTCTCTCATTTTTTCTTTCCTCTCTCAGTTTTTCTTTCCCCTCTCAATTATGATTGAATAATGATTCAAACATCAACTGGGATGGTGGAATTTTACAGAATGATGGAGAAATGAAGAGAGCTGCCTCACCTCAACAGCAATGCGTTTCGTATTATTTATTCTCTTATTACAGGTCTAGGGCGGCGGTGATGAATGAGTCTGTCCGGGCCTTGACTAAGGCTGGGCTGGTTTTCTATTTCCGCCGTTTTTTTTTTTTTTTTTTTTTTTTTTTTTTCTGTTTTCCCTTGTGAAGGCAGTAATGATGATATTTTATCAAAAGTATAAATATTTGAAAGCTGTGTGTCAGCTTACATGCATCTTCTCAATAATAATGTTCTTAGAAAGTTCATAGTAATGCAAACTTCTCTGTGAAGATAGTTTGAAATAAGAGAAGATCAACAGGTAAGAATGTTCTTTAAAACTTGCTCATGAAGAGAAAGGAATAAGACAAAAGAAAAAGACTTTCCTCTTCAAAAATAAAAATAAATATGGAGAAAGGTTTTGTGGGGTGTCCACCCTCCGTACCGTACCGTACCATAACTACGTGATAAATACGAGACGAGAACTGGCGGCGGCGGCCATGTCATCGTTGAGAATAATTTGCGGAGCGAAGCGAAGCTAGACTAGCCAGTGGGACCATGAATTTCATACTTGGTCTCATTTGGTCTGATCTCATACATTTCTTGATGTGAGTCTCACCAGGACCTACTACCAGCTTCCTGGGTGTTCTGACCTTTGAGAATGATGTACAGAGGAAGAGCCCAGCCTGACGCGTTGACTGACTCAATATGTAGTAGCTTTGCTCGTCCATAGTGCTCCGCACTAGTAATAATCTTTGTCATTGCACAGAGCCCCATTGCAAATCCAGTCTCATCAAAGTTGTAGATATCTTCAAGAGTAATCTCATATTGAGTAAGAGTATCCTCCAAAGTCTTAAACCACTCCCAAATAACCCTAATATCTTCTTCACATTTCGCCCGCTCGTGATTGTAACATCTTGAATAACAGCATTGAAGCTCTGTACAGCACTTTATTAGGTTTGAGACCCAGTTCTTGCCAACTGGTGGAGGAGAGATTGCCGGTGATCGCGTAGAGAGAAGATGATTAGCCATATTCTCAACAAAAGCCGGCTGGGGGCAGTAATCCTCATTTATCTAGATTTAGGACCCATTGAACTAGCATATCCTCTTCAGTCTGAGTCAATTTTTGTGTGAATTTGCACGTAAATTCACCCGTGCAGGTCGACCATTGCGTCGATAGGATAAAGTAGAATATGACACATTATATAGACATGCAGCTTCCGCGAATTGTCATAATTTCTCGCTTTTTAAGAGCATTAATTGCAGGCTCTATTCTTCCCTCTCTCTCTAGAGAATTTCTCTTATTTTTCTTGCGAATTGGTGGCATAATTACGCGTTGAATGGTGGGCGTTCGTTAATGAGCTGGTAGAGGATTTTGGTGTTGCGCTCGCTACGTTATTAACTAACGGTTTCTTGCTGAGTCATCAGCATCAGGACGACAAAATGGAAATCAAACCAACTGTCAATCATCATGGAACAAATCACATATGGTGCAAGCAGCGGTATCTTTAAGATCGAAAAACCTACTATTCTCAAGTGCCCTTTCCCCGGCTTTGAAGATGACCTGCGCTGTGAACAACGAGCCTATGAGCTGCTGGGTCGACATCCACGGATAGCCCACTACTACGGTCGCTTTAACAACGTCGGGTGCGAGCTGGAATACTACCGGAACGGCTGCATCGACAAGATAATGACAACAATGCACGGAGAACTACCATATCTCAAATGGGCGGAACAGATCGCTGAAGCGCTGGTCTTCATGCACAGCAAGGGCATCATCCACTGTGACCTGCGAACACCTAATATCCTTGTTACCGATACCTTCGACATCGCCCCCGCCGACTTTGCCTCGTGCTGTATAGATGGGGTGAAGGTGTCTACAGTGACAAACATAGCTAGATACCGCCCGCCCAGCTGGGAGAATTATAAAGAATATAAAGTTTCCCTTCAGAATGACTTCTTTGTGTTTGGCAGTGTGGTTTATTTTTTGATTACACATGAAGCACCCTATAAAGATTTAGAAGATCATGAAGCTATTAAGCTTTATACGGTGGGGAAATTTCCCGATGTTTCTAGGTGGCCATTAGGTACTGTGATGAATAAGTGTTGGCGCGGAGAATACTCTACTACTTCACACCTGTTGAAAGACATCCATCAGTGCACCTCCTTGCCTCTTCATTTGAAATGGTGGTTTGCTGACATGTTCTTCTCCTATAGGTCGTGTGAGATAAGAATCACGTTCTGAGCTCATATTTTCAAGCTGTATCTGTTTCATTATTCAAAGCTTCACTGGTGGCGCACGCTTCCGCGATCTTTGCCCTTTTGAAGATAGCCCGCAGCTCATAAATTTCGGCGACTGGCTGCTGTGGCGCCGGCTCAGCTATCACCTCTATCCATCTTTCCCGGCCGTGCTTATGGTGAACTACAGAATGAAACAACGCAAGAGTGCGCTGAAATCCGAACAATGGCTGGTCTTTCACTAGGTGAATTTCAAGAGAACGACCTTCCAAACCAATGGAGCCATCAGGAATCACAAAGCAAAAGGTCGGAGCGACTTACACTAGTTGGCATAGTCGAACCGTTACAAACAAAAGGACCGAGGATATCACGGAGGCATTTAATCGCAACGAGTGGGCATATCTCACGAAACCTCTACTATGACTTGTGCGACTCCCTAGGACGACAAGTCTTAATCAAATGAGGGAGACGCGTATAGCTGAACCCGCCGCTGTCACGATGGCATTTGCAGCCCCAGAGGGCGTGACATAATGTTAATCCATATACATGAAAGGGATATCATGATCAACCATAAGGTGGCTTCTCCTAGCGGCTCATTAAGGGCCCTTGGTAGGCAGGTGAGGGGAGCCTTGCTTGATAGTGTCCTCATCTTTCTCCTCAGGGGGGAACCGTATATCACCGGAGAAACCGAGCTACTAGCCCATGGCACTGCGATGCCTTCTCCTCTTCTACTGTGCGCAACCACAACCCGAACGATACCTACCCCTCTTGTCTCCTCACCATGATTCGCCTTGCGACAGCTGTGGAGAGGATGATAGTACTGCATGAGTTCTATTTTCAGATTTCGTCTCCGGACTTCGTTCGCTGCTGCGCCGTGCTTCAATACCTGTAGAGTGCAGTTTAACAGCACATTACCAAACACCCAAAACACAACAAGTTGCCGGGCTATATTCATACTAGCACTGTAGCCAAAGCATTTCCTATCCAATAACTCTTGATATAGCCAGTGATATCTCGACAACATAATGCACAGGTCTGCATCAGGAGGGATGCATCCTGGGCAAAACCTATATCCGCACAGGAGGGTTTTCCACTCTGAAGGGATGGTATAACATATTGGACATTGACAGCGATGTGCTGGAGAGCAGCCCAAGACAAACACCCCGCGACTGCCCCCAATCCCTTGGTATAAATAGAGGGCCCCCTCCCCCTCCAGGACCGTCTTCCTTTTCACTTCTAAACATAACCCAAGCGCCCCCGGTCCTGGTTAGCAGCCGGGGCAGTATCCCGCATCCTGATATGCAATCCGGTGACCTCTTCTTCGGTCGTTGGGTATAGCTTCCCAGAGTATGAGGCTCTGTTCGATGACCTAGCGCTCCCTGATCCACGACATCACGGCCACTGAAGAAATGCAAAATACCCAACTTGAAACAGCCCTGGGAAGATTTTTCTCCCAGCCGGGCCTTGTTATGTGCTGGTATTGGCTGGTATTGGGATAGGCGAAATTCACACAGTATTTGAAGCAGGGTCCGCGAAGGTCAGGGCGCTGGAAGGAGAAGTGCGGCACCTGAAGGAGCGGAACACCGAGCTAGAAACCAAGCACCGTGCAGAACTGAGCAGGAGAAAAGAGGAGATTCTCAGACTTGAGGCTGAGGTCATCTAGCTGGAATATCGCTGTCAATGTCCAATATGGGAGATTATCATGCAATTGCTGTAAAAGTGCTATGGTTAGAAGTGGCCCGTTGACTGTCATAAAGACAACAACAATTGTCATAAAACAAGAGCTGTTTCTTGACAAAAACAGTCTATTTGAGCTCCATCCTCACAAAGATTGTCATAAAACGATTGTTAAGACTCAGAATATGGCTGTTCGATGAAATCTTGTTGTATGATGTGATGTGTACAATGATCGGAATGATCAACTAAAAGAGTGTAGATTGTATTGTATATTGTCTATGAAGTCTAGGGCTCGAGAAGAGCCTGAATACAAAGAAGGGGGAGATGAAATCTCTACGAGACGATAAACCTAATGTAGACCGGATAAACTAAGCACGCCAATAATGGTCTTCAACTAGGGAATGCAAATGAATGAGCCAGGCCTGACGGACTGTGCTGTCGGGCAGTCTCAACACCTGTATTTCCTCCTGTATAATCAAACACTTGGCCTGTATTTAACATCATGCAAGGACTCATCATAAGCTCTGCTTGCATATGAGTATAATGGAAGAATAAATAGTAATAATAATAATAATGCATAGTAGCAACAAAACATGTTGAACATGTAATCGCACTCTTTTGTGTGCCAGGAAGATCAATCAACTCTTTTCAGCTTCTGAGATTTGACTCAAAATAATGAGCTGCAAAATCAAATGACTCTCTTCCTCTTCACTCTTGCCTTCACTCTTGCCTTCACCTGCCTTCACCTGGCTTCACCTTTCTTTCCCAACCTCTCCAATTCAGGGGGGGGGTGAGTGGGGATTTATTAAAGCAGCCTGCCTTCAGGGCGAATCCGGACCTAGTTGTAAACAGGAATTTCATCGAGTCCAAATCTTTTGATGGCTTTTAGAGGTAGCTGGATATATCTGCTGTAAGAAGGCATACTATACTGTGCATCTGCATTATTGATCTTGCAGCACTTAGAGAGCTGTTATTTTATAAATGAAGCCTTTTTTTTTTGATCCCTTCTAACTTTTTCTATATTTGCTTCGCTCTCTTTTTCCCTCATAAGACGCAATATCAATGTTTGAAGAAACCTGACTTACTCACCCTCTTTTCTCCATTGAAGAGAGAGAGTCAGCGCAAGTAACTTAGTTATTCTTTCTTCATTCTCATACATACCTCATCAATTTCTGCTAATCTTTTCTTTTTCTCTTTTTCTTTTTCTTTTTCTTTTCTTTTTTTTTTTCTTTTCTTTTTTTTTTTTTTTTTTTTTTTTTTTTTTTTTTTGATTCCTCTCTCCCTCATGTGTGGGTGTGCGTGTATATATATATATATATATATGTGTGAACCCTTGTTTGGGCAGGCAACACTGCTACTTGCCACCATCCCACTATTATTATTTACTAGCATCTGGCGAGAACGTGGAATGTCATAGCAACCACTACTAACTATGTTAGTGGAAGTAAGCAGCAGCGGCGATGAGCTGGTGATCGGCGCTGTGCATGCATGCTCCTGTTACGTCAGTGGGTGGATTAACTAACTTAGTTATTCAGATTGAACATCAAAAAAGGTCGAGTTAACTAATAACTAACTAGTTGGCCCGCATGGATTTTTGAAGGAGGGAGGGGGGAGGGAGAAAGAGAGAGAGGCGGTAAGAGAAAGAGAACTTCTTTTCTTGATAGTTATGTTAATATGTTCATTTTTCTTCATTTTCCTTTCCTCTCCATTTTCTTTTTCTCATTTCGCATTGCCCGCGGGCAATTCAGGTGCTGGTTTCCTTGTAACTTATACAGTACATGATGGGGTTTCAATTTATAATCAAAAATAAGTTAGTTAATAAAAAATATAGTTTTAAGGTTGTCAAAGGCAAACCTCGGAAACCTTCACAGAAGGGCCAATCAATCAAACATATCAATTCTAACTCAGCGATGCTTTTACAACGACAGGAAAGGTCAGAGAGCAGCTCTCTCTCTCTCCATCCCATCCCCCCACCCCCCCGCCTTATCATGGGCTTAGTTTTATTAGTGTCCTCGAACTTCGAACTTATGTACCGGAGGACTCCCCCGGTATAAAATGTATCCCCGAGGCTGTAAGCGGCTTTACTTAGCTAAGAGCCATTACATATATTCTCCCCTCCCCCCCCCCCCCCCCTGTTACTGTTAGTTTATCTATCGACCAAGAAATAGGGGTGGCCGTTTATGTCTGGAGTTTTCCTTTGGTGGATATACTGCACCGTTTACCTGCTAGAGGGGGTCTGGGCCTTGTAGTTGTATGTGCATGTAATGTACTGTACATGTACATTGTACTTTTCTTTTTCGTAGGTAGATAGTAGTAGGTAGGTAGTTATAGGAGAGAGAATCAATTGATTCATTCGCTCCCGTCAACAATAGAATTCTTCAGAAGACGATTCTCCCTTCGAAAAATTAACAAATAATTATACGGAAAGAAAGAAAGAAAGAAAGAAGGGAAATAAATGCCTCCGAAGAAGTATAAGGGGGGGAAGTTTAGAACCCAGCGTGACGGTGGTCGCCTACACTCATTACTATTGCGTGGAGATGATGTTGTGTTTTTATTTGAAAGAGAGTGTTCTGTTCTTTCTATCCCCACCGTCCTTTTTTTTTTTCCTTTTTTCCACACACTTCGCCGTTTTATTTTATTATATTTTTTATCTCTTCTTCTTCTTGCTCCCACCCAACCAACCAACCCCTCGGGCCATGTGCTGACTGACTTACTACTATCTGTCTATCCTACTTTCCTTTTGCTTTTTTTTTGCTTTTTCCCCGCGGGGCATTGTGTGTGGGAAAAAAAAAAAAAAAAAAAAAAAAACCGACAACCCGGTTCCCAATCTACGGGGATAAACAACATCTCCTAGCCGCCAGAACAAACCAAAATAAAAAATAACAAAGGGAACGAACGGGGACAGCATAACAATCGCAAGCAGGACACCAGAGAAAGAGATAATAATAAGTAGAGGTAACAGTCCAGTCCAGTGCAGTCCAGTCCGCAGCGTGTTAGCAAAGTTAGCATTGCATTGCATATTCCACCTTTTCTTAGACCGGGGGCTGCTGCTTGCTGCTGCTGCTATAAGCGCCACAACACCCCCCTCATTTCTTGTGTGCTGCCGCCGCCGCCAGTATCTTCAGACGCTCGAAAATTCCAAATTTCCCCGTAATAGACTGCGACTCCTTCTTTTCCCTTTTCTCTATCTAACTACTCTTGCTTCTTGCTTCTTCTGTCTCTCAATCTCCCCTTCTCTCTTCTTTAGTTAGTTACTCTGTTGGTGAGCTCTGGTGTGTAAAAGAAAAAAGGGCTGAATCAGGTGGGTTTCATACAAACTCAGCTTCTCTTTCTCTCCCCTCTTATTGATTGATTTATATTTATTTCCAATTTATTTGTTTTTTCTTCTCCGTCTCCGTCTCCGTCTCTCTCTCTCTCTCTCTCTCTCTTTCTCTTCCTTCAATTACACGGAGTGCTTCTCTCCCGCCATTCCCTACAGCTGTAGTAAGTCTTGTTTAGCCTTGGTTCTGTATTCACTTTTTTATTTGTATATTTTTTTACTTTTATTTTTTATTCCGCGCCAGATCAACACCTCGCCAGGACCTGAGCTTCGCTCTAAGATGACCTAGCTTCAAGCCCGTTCTGTCCCGCCCATCCCCCGCGCCCGTCGTTCAACTCCGTTTCCTCCTCCCCTGTCCTTACCACACATTCTTATATATATCAAACATCCAAGCATCACCAGCATCACCAGCATCACCAGCATCACCAGCGTCATCAGCATCATCATTCTTCAGGGTTCGTCACAATACAATCACCCACCCGGACATTTCTCTCTCTCAATGCACCACCACACCAAAGCTCCTCTCCTCCCCACCTCACAAACCAGCCGTCATTGATTAGATCTATTCACTGCACCACAAAAAAGAAAGAAGAAACAAAAATCCGCCTTTTTTGGAAGAGGTTTATACATATACATATATATATATATATATTATACATATATCATATGTTGCGGATGTGGGCTCACGGAAATATTTATACATATATAGTGTGACCTTTATATTTTTTGCCCTTGGAATTTGCTGCCCAGCTTGGCGCTTGCTCCGGCTTTAAAACTGCCAGAGAAAAAGCCTGGAAACTGGTTGCTGCAGGTAAAGTTAGTCCTCTCGGTTTCCCTTTTCCCTTTCCCCTTTTCCATTTTTCTTTATCATTCTTCTCTCCTTTTTCCCACCTCCCTTTCTACTATCTAGAAGAGGGGGGCATCGGGGTTCGTTGTGGGCATTCGGCGTTGTTCTAGCACAACCAAGAAACCGCCTGTCGGAGTTACAAAAATGAAACAGGGATAGATAGATATATTCTGGGTGACTTGTATAAAAACAAAAAACAAAAAGCCAAAAAAAAAAAAAAAAAAGAGGAGGATGTTGTTGTTGTTGTTGTTTGTTTGTTTTTGGTGGTGGAAAAGGATGAATATTGGCAGAGAGAGAGAGAGAGAGAGAGATTGTGTGTGTGTGTGTGTGTGTGTGTGAGATAGAGCTGTTTGGGCGATCGATCGAATCGCTCTCGGAGGGAGTTTTTGGCGCGGGGGGGGGGAGGGAATTCTAGACTGCTTCCTTCGTCTTGCCCCTCCTGGGCTGTGCTTTCGCCACGAAAATTCAATCACATTAATATTGTTTCGTCATTTTTCTAAACTTCTTCCTTTTTCCAAGCGAACTATTATTTACCTATTATTATTTCTCGATGGCTGACCCTTTGCTTGCTACATTACAAAGAACACGAAACCCAGAAAAGAACACTGTCCACTCTCGACTTCCTCCTCGGCTCCCAACTTACTCAACCTTGCATCCCTATCCTCCTACAAAAGCTATTTTTCGACGGAGCTAGTTCTCGTCAACATTTCACACCACGCCCTTCCCTTGCACCTCCGTTTCCTAATCGAATCCCAATAACGCGCTGGTCCTCGCCCACGCTACCTAATCTGCTCGATCACAGTCGAACTTTTAAATGCTGGAATAGGAAAAACTATTATACCTGCGGTATTCTGCGGCGGTCGCAATATAATTTTCACATCCGGTTTCCCCTCCGTGAGGGCCTTCTTTCCGCGGTGGGCTCCCAAGAAGCTCACTGTTCCTAGATAAAACCTTTTCTTTTTTTTTATATCTGTGTATCAGGCGAAGTCCTTGATAAACAAATAAATGCCATATTTGGCCTATCAGACCCCTTCGTCCGTTCGACTAAACCCCCCCTCCTTCTCGAACATGACGCCTTCAGCGACGGCACAGGTGGTATGTCAAATCAGATTACTCAGACCTCATTACTTACTTCCTTTGAATTTTCACTGTTTTCCTGCCCTTGGGGATCGCATATACATATCTCTAACCAACCACCCCCCGCACATATAGCCGCAGCAGCCGCAGCCACCGCAGCAGCCACCGCAGCAAACCGCCAACGACAAAGTGCCCGATCTAGCCTCACTGGGTGACCACATCGAAGAAACAACCTTCGAGCAAATTCTCGAGATGGATGAAGACTTTAAGCGTGAATTTAGTAGGGACTTAGTATACGGGTTTTTCGAACAGGCAGAAACTACATTTTCGGATATGAAGAAGGCAATGTGAGTTACAATCCTTGAGGAATAAAAACCCATTTTTCCGCGTGCGCCCCTCTTGTTTTGTTTTCCCCACCAGCACCACCACAGCACCACCACAGCACCCAAACCAGCGGTCCCCCCATTTGTTCTATCGCAACAAGTTCCTATGACGTCATATCCCCAACCAACCTCCTCCCCTTCAAACCGTTATGATGCCGATCTCCACCAATCAACCATCTTTCAGATGTATTTCCCGACTTGAGTACAAACCTTATCTCTTTCTGCTTTATTGTTGTTTTATCTTTAATAATTTCCATTATTTTTTTATTTTTGCTTTTATTTTATTTATTTTATTTCATTTTTTTCAAAAAGAAATTAATTTCTAACTATTTCCCCTTCCCTTCCTTCTCCTTTACGACCAACAGCAAGGAAAAAGACCTCTACAAAATCTACCAACTAGGCCACTTCCTCAAAGGCTCGTCGGCAACGCTAGGCCTCACAAAAGTGAAAGAGGCGTGCGAAAAGATCCAGAACCTCGGAGCGGGCAAGGACGAGTCCGGCACGGTCACCGAACCCAATAAGGAAGTCTCGCTGAAGAATATCGAGAAGACACTGAATGAAACCGAGAAAGATTACAAGGATGCCGTCGTGCGGTTGAAAAGGTTTTATGGCGAGAAGGTTTAAAAAAAAAAAAAGGAGTCTGATATCTACTCTACTTTTATAATAATAATGAGGGGCCATGGGACGGAGAGTGGAAGGAGATGGGGCTACATGGTTTGGAAGGACTGAACGATATGAAGAGCTTTTCTGGTCTATGGAACTAGAATGCTTTTAATTGAGAGAGAAGAAATGTGCGGAGGTTTGGAAGGGAGGGAAATATAATCACATAATGGACTAAATTGTCTTGTGATGTCTTCATTACTTTTTTTTTTCTTTTCTTGTCTTTCTTTTATTTTCATTTGTTAATTAATTCTCTTGTTATTACTTCTCATTGTTTCTTTTTTATTTCTTCTCTTCTTCTCTTCTTCTTCTTCTTCTTCTCCTTCTTCTCCTTCTCCCTCCCTTCTGGAATTCTCTCTCAGGGGCGTTGATATATTTTTACACATGCCATTTTGTTTTCTATATATATTCTTTTCTTTTTTTCAGTTTTTCAATTTAAAAAAAAAAAAAAAAGAATCTATCTTCTTCATGTACCCTTTGAGTTCCCTTTCTCCTATTTTCTCCTCTTCTCTCTTCCCCTCCCCCTCTCCCGCTCCTCTCTTCTCTCTCCCCCTCTCTTCATCTCCTACTTAACTTCCCCCTTCTCTCTTCCTCTTCTTCTCCATACAACTTCTTGATACCACGCAAGCCATGTCCTGTTCCTGTTATATCATACCCAATCACATCACGTTATATATGCCTGTCTCACTCTCCGCCCCCCCCCGCTCTTCTCTCATCCTCTTTCCTCCCCCTCAGTGTTCCGCGTATATATAAATACTTTCAAAAAAGAAAATCTTCCGCGCGCATCTTTTGCAACCTCATTATTCATCTATTTCATTTTCATCACTTCTCATCATCAAAATCAAAATTAAAATAAAAGCCTGTCTTTGATGTTTTAATTTATTTTCTCATTTTTGTTTTCTTCTTCTTTCTCTTTCAAAATTTTTTTTATTTTTTTTTATTTTTTTTTATTTTTTTTTTTAACTTCTTGTGTCATCACTTATTTTCTTCTCTTTCTCTTTCTCTTTCCGTATTGTTATATTTTCTTGTCTTTGGCACTGTGATTCTTGTGTAAGAGGTGTGAGTGAGTGATTGAATGTAAAGAATGAGATAAAGTAAGTGAGAATGTGCTGAAAAAAGAAAGCTATAACATGGCATAAAGAGGTGAAGTCAGTGGTCACAATGTGTGTAGAGAGAGAAAGAGAGAGAGGTCTGATATATATTGAAAATATCACTCATATCAAATCATTCTCTTTATACTTCATATAAAGAAAGAGCTAGTTACATCAGAAGCAACTTTTTATAAGAGTTGAATTATAGTATTGATTTCTTCTTCTCTTCTGTAGTTTATCATATCTGTGAAGAAAATCACTAGAGCCTTGAATATCAATAGAGGAGGTTCAACAACAATAATGTATGTGTAGGCTACTGGGGCAAAAGAGCTCGATCACCACCAGCGCCTGCTGGTAGAAGGGCCGACCAACCGCGGGACCCCCAACACCCCCCCTCGGACCAGCTACCACAGAGTACAGTACTTCCTCTCAGTGGCTCCTCTCAGTGGCTCCTCTTAGTGGCTCCTCTCAGTGAACTCACTCCTAGGGCTCATTCTTTCAAGGGCTCACTCCTAGGGCACACTCCTAGGATGTCTCTTGGCACTGTTAAAATGTCCAGGGTATTTGTTAGGAATTTTTAAGTCCATTCTGGGATCAAACCCATGCATGTTGACCACAGCGGGGCTCACGCTTAACGGTCTCATAACCTGTAGGCTACTGGGGCAAAAGAGCTCGATCACCACCAGCGCCTGCTGGTAGAAGGGCCGACCAACCGCGGGACCCCCAACAGTATGAACCTGTCAACATCCCCAGATATATCACGTGATCCATTCCGATGGAGTTTAGCCCGATACAGCCTAGTAGCAGCCCTTGTTTGATCCTATCCCGGTTTTCCTTCTTTGCCCAAAACACAAACCTTCCCGTTTGTTTGATATAATAATAAAGGGGATATCATATTTCTTCCTTTTTAATCTTTCGACCTCATTTTTGTCGCTATTATAAAATATCCCCCTCCTTCCCATTCCAGCCTCAAATAGAAAATTTCTAGAACTATCCACTGTATCTCGTCCCCCCCTTATGTAATAGTTGGCCTCTAGTTCGTGGTCGACAGGAAAAAAAGTCAAAGAAATAGAAGCGCGTTTTCGCTTCACCCCCCTTTTTCCGCCAGAACCGAAACTCAACGACGCAGGCTTGAAGGGAAAGAAAAGGATAAAAAAAATAAAAAAAAAATAGAGGAAGAGGTTATATTTCTCTTTATCTATTTATTCTTATTATTCTCATCCCTACTGTCTCCTCCTCACACTCACAACCACAACCACAATGCGTCTGTCATCATCAACAATTCTCCTCCTCCCAGCCCTGGCTGCGGCGCAAGATCAGATCCCACTCAGGGACCAGGTGCAAGGCTGGTTCAATAAGGTTAAATCGTTCCTCCCCACCGCTACCCCCGTGGTGAACTCCGCTGCCAATTCCGCCGCCGCCGCTGCCACCAGCGCTGCTGCTGGCTCCAAGGGAGGTGCTCCCAAGATCGTCAATAAGGAGGTTACCCCCATCACCGTCGCCAACTGGGAGTCGTTATTGGCTCCGAAGGATGACGGCCCAGGGCAGGAGTGGTTGATTTACGTTACTGGCGGGAATAAGACGTGCCATGGCCAGTGTAAGAAGGCGGATAAGGCGTGGGAGGTATGTGTGGCTGGCTTTTCGATATATAACTTATGGTAACTCTAGATATTAAGATACTAACGATACCCCCAATAGGCCGCCATCCCCCTCTTCTCCGCCGACGAAACCTCCCCCTCCCTCGCAAAAATCAACTGCGAAAACAACGGCCTCCTCTGTTCCATCCTCTCCGCCACCCCCGCCTCCGTCTGGCACTGGCAGGTCCCCGCGCGCAAACCAGGCCAGCCAAAACCAAAGACCCTCGTCCACATGTCGCGCGTGAACACCACCTCCGTCGACGCTGAGGCCATCTACAAGGTCCATTCCGAGAAGACTTGGGAGAACAAACCGGCGTTTGACGGCACGTTCCACCCCGTCGATGGAAAGCTGGCGCAGTACGGCCTTAGTGTGCCGTTTGGCTATGTGATGTATTACGTCGGTATGGTGCCTAGCTGGCTTATGATGGTCGGGATCAGCTTTATTAGTCGGACTTTCATGTAAGTTGTTTTTCATTCTTCCCAGCCAGCCCCTTGGAACCCAAAAACTTTTTCCTCTTCGATCTTTTAGGTACTGATGATGGTTTTTTTTTTTTTTTTTCCGTTTTGAATAGGAGCCGGAGAATGGGTCCCCCACGACCCCAGGCTGCTCCGCCCGCGGGTGCTGCGCAGTGAAAGAGCCAAAAGACCAAAAAGCCAAAACGAAAAATACAAACGAAATAACAAAAATGATATATAGATGTGTATGTGTATGAGTTGTTTTCTGTATGTGTTCGGTATAGCTCTGTATTACTGTTTTCTGTTTATTATATATTATTTATTACTATTACTACTACTATTTTATTTTATTATAACTACCGGTAGTTTTTTCCCCGCTTCTTTTTTTTTTTTTTTTTTTTTTTTTTTTTTTTTTTTTTTGATTCCGATTCGGACAGAATACTTGCTACTTTGTTAGAGATTGTTTATGGCTTGGGGTATGGTACATTGGAGTTTTTCTCTTTGGGATTTTTTCCATGATAATTATGGGGTTTCTTTTATTTATAGATATGGGTTACTTGCAGCTATGGACATGACTGAAATAGAGTATGGCATGGAGGCCGATAGTGGCCAAAAATCTCTTCAAGCTTCGTGGAATATCCTAAGAGCATTTTGGATCATTCTCATTCTCTCCTCATCCCCCTCCAAACCAGATGTCCCCAGTTATCCAAGCGAAAAGTAAACGGCCGAATTGAATAATTATATATGTTGGCAAGTCATGGTTTTTCCCTAACCTCATCAGCCGACGGCCAAAAGAAATCGGTAAAGGGAGGTGGAATATGACGCCCTCAGCAGGAACCCGGCCACCTCACCGAATTCACCAACCCGCCGAAACGGGGAGGGAGCTCAAGGCTGAGTGTTAGTTCAATAAAGAAGAACCGGGCCGCTGAGATTCTCTCTGAGATCTGTCGACCGGAAATTGACACCATTTTTTGCAAGGGAAGATTTTTTGTTAGAAAATGATTCCCCCTCGATGGCTCCATGAATCGTCGAGCTGTCCAGCAATAGCAACCGAAACACAGCCAGGGTACGAATACCCTGGTTGGATCAGGACTGCTGGACACAGATCTGGATTTGTTGTGATGAGGAAGAAGAGAGAGAAAGAGAAGTCGAAGGTTGTGATATTATTTTTTTTTGTAGTTGGGGCACTGAGTGGCGCTAGGCCTGTTTGAGTTCGGACCGGATTTTGGTGAAATTCCGGAGCTGGCGAAGAACAGAGCCATAATAATATCGCAAGGCAGCTGGAGGAGAGGAGAGGAGCAGCGGAGAGCAAGGGCAACTACAACAGTACACAAGCTATTTTGGAACTCTTTTCACTTCACGTTTTACAGTCTGACCCACTGAATCATACCGTGCCTTTTCCATTTTGTCTCCACAGTTATGACGGACGCTCTGTCGATTGAGCAAAACAATAAGATCCGAGTCGCCCTTGGTCTGAAGCCTCTTCCTGTCCCCGGCGCTGCCACTACCACCGACAACAGAAACAACGATGGTCCCGTCTTTAAGCCATCCAGAGATGGCAACAACTCAGATTCTTCAGATGACGAACCCGCAAGCACACTAGAGTCGCGACAGGCGCAGGGATACGATAACTGGAAGAAATACCAGGATGAAGCCGAGGCGAAGAAGAAGCGCCAGGAGAAGCTGGACGCGATCAAGCGGGCGCGCGAAAATGCCCAGAAACTAGTGAAACTTGAGGGCAAAGGGCTGGGTGAGGTCGATGAAGCGGAGGCTGCGTTGGATACCAAAACCTGGCTGATGCAGCAGAAGAAGCGGCAGCGGAAGATTGAAAAGGAGCGCGCGAAGAGACTCGCTGAGGAACTTGCGGAGAGGGAGCGGATTGCGGAATATACTGCGAAGGATCTTGCGGGTGTGAGGGTTGGACATGAGGTGGCTGATTTTGAAGAGGGCGAGGAGCAGATTCTTACGCTTAAGGATACGACCATCGATGAGAATGAGGAGGAAGGGGATGAGTTGGAGAATATCGACTTGCGGGACCGGGAGCGCCTTAATGAGCGACTGGCGTTGAAGAAAAAGAAGCCGGTGTATGATCCTAATGATTTCGATGGGTCCGGCTCTATTCTGGCGCAGTATGATGAAGAGATTGAAGGGAAGAAGAGGAAACGGTTTACGTTGGATGCTAAGGATCTGACTGAGGAAGAGCGGGAGGCGAAGCGGCAGGATGTGTCGTCTAAGCTCAAGGCGCAGCCTGTCAACCTCGATATAATGCCCGAACCTACGGCTACCCCATCAGACTATCAGGAGGCGACAGAGATTAAAATCAAGAAGCCGAAAAAGAAGAAGGCGAAATCTACGAGACAGAAAGCGGTGGATGAAGATGACATATTCCCAACCATCGACACTACGGACACGCCTAATGGAGATAGTATGGAAGTGGATTCGGGAGCTGTCAGCACTGGACTTTCAACCCCCGCCCCGCGACGATCAGATAGAGAAATATCGTTCGTTGATGATGAGGATTTGCAAGCGTCACTAGCAACACAGAGACGAGCTGCATTCAAGAAACGGAAGAAGGTTCGTCCGGAGGATATCGCCAGACAGTTACGGGAAGAGTCAGAGCAAGCACAGAATGGAATGGACTTGGATAACGCAGATGGCGAGGACGACGCTCCTGGCCTGGTTATCGATGAGACATCCGAATTTGTCGCAAACCTACAGCGCCCCACGATACCTGATCGGCGCCAGCGCTCGGTCTCGCGCCCGAAGGAAGAATCGCCTAAAGTGAAAGAAGAGAGGGACGAAGATGTCGATATGGAGAGGTCGTATAATGATATTGAAGATGAAGAAGACCTCAAAGGACGACTGAAGAGAAGCGAGGAGACTACGCCAGCTGCAGACATCACTGCTACTGGATTAGAAGAGGAATCGACACTTGACCAGGGCCTGGGCTCTACTCTCGCCATGCTTAAACAGCGGGGATTGGTAAAGGAATCCAACGCAGGCGATCTGAACACGCTCCACCGCGAGCGCCAACGATTCTTACAGGAGAAGCAACGGCGCGAAGCGGAAGCAGAGCGCCGCGCCCGTCTCCAGCGAGAACGCGACCGCGCCTCGGGCAAGCTCGACCGCATGACGGCGCGGGACCGGGAGGAATACGCACGGCAGGAAAACAAGCAGCGCGACCAGCTCGAGTCGCGGCAGATGGCGGAGATCTTCAACCGCGAGTACAAGCCGGACGTGCAGCTGAAGTATGTGGATGAGCACGGGCGGCTGATGGACCAGAAGGAGGCGTTCAAGCACCTCTCGCACCAGTTCCACGGCAAGGGCAGCGGGAAGATGAAGACGGAGAAGCATCTGAAGAAGATTGAGGAGGAGAAGAAGCGGGAGGCGATGAGTACGTTGGATAGTAGCCAGCATACTGGGATGAATAATGCGATGGGGGCGACGGCGAGGAGGAATCGGCAGGCTGGGGTTCGGCTTGGATGAAGGGGGTGTCTTCTGTATACTTGGAACTACATCTGTACTGTAGATCCATTCCTCATGCTTATTTACATTTTTACATGTTGCATGTAGAGGAGCATGTAGAGGATCTGTCGTTGCATGCTTTTCTTTCTCTAAGCTGGTACTTTTTTGCCAAACAAAACACTCCATTTACAATGTTAAGCGGGAATCAAATCAATTATCAATTATCCAATCCTCCTTCGTATAAAGAATATCGTAATCCTTCTCCTCCAACATCCTTTATAAATATTCCCGTCAAAAAGCGATCCACCTCTGTAGGGCATTTTCGGGACGTTACTTGAAATCTAATAATAATATATAAGAGCTAGAGAACTAATTTTTTTTCTTCTTCTTCTTCTTCTTATTTTTCCCCAGCGCCCAGACTTCCAGGCATTGCCGGCTTCTTCCCCGGCTGCCTATGGGGGGGAGTCCACTTGTACTGCTACCTGGCCAATGGCAGGGGAAAGGCGCAGGGCAAGGTAGAGGTACTTACTGGGATGTTTGTTACTATTATTATTATTTGGGATATCTGGCTGCTTTCCCCGGATCAAACTGCCATTGCAAGGGCTCGGCACTCGGGAGGTTTCCTAAGGCTTTTTTTGTTTTTTTTTTCTTTTTATAATTTGATTAATTTCGGATTACGCAGTAAATCGAACTCGGTTAAAGCGGGGATTTTGGGATTTTCGGTGAAGAGAAAGGGAAAAAAAAGGTGGAGAGAAGAAAAAAAAAAGCAATTCCTGAAAGCTCTTTTTTTTTTTTTATTTTTTTTTTTTTATCCCTCTCTTTTCCCGCTCCGAGATCTTCCTGAGACTTGTCTTTATAATAATCCCATCTCGACTTTACTTTCACAAGCTAATCAAAATAAATATTTATAACTTTTCCCTGACTCATTATTACTAGCCATTGGCTACCTTCTCGTTTTTCAATTCCTTGCTGAGCTTTTGTGCAGCATAGAAATCTCTATCCTAGCTTAACCTCCGTATCATATCGCCATGTTGTCCACTCTAAGAGTCGCCAGCCAAAAGGCTGCGACTCGCGATGTTGCCATGCGCCTGTTTGTTGCTGGTGCTCGTCCAGCATCCACCTGGTCCAATGTGCCCCAGGGCCCTCCGGTATAAGAATAATGCTTCTATCCCGTTGCATAGATGTTTGCTTGGCCTTTTGCTGACCGGGCACGTCATTTGTTCTCTCTAGGACGCGATTTTGGGCATCACGGAGGCCTTCAAGGCGGACTCATTCAAGGACAAGATCAACCTTGGTGTCGGAGCTTACCGTACGTATTACAGTATATCTCTTCTTTCCGCGATCTTCCATATATCTACTTTTATTAATCATCGAGGCTATTTGGCTAAAAACACATTGTAGGCGATGACCAGGGAAAGCCCTACGTCCTCCCCTCCGTCCGCGCCGCGGAAGAAAAAGTCCTCAACTCGAACCCTGACAAAGAGTACGCCGGCATTACCGGTGTGCCCACCTTCACCAAAGCCGCCGCCTCCCTCGCCTTCGGCGCCTCCAGCCCCGCCATCAAAGAAGACCGCATCGCCATCACCCAGACCATCTCCGGCACCGGTGCCCTACGGATAGGCGCTGCCTTCATCGAGCGCTTCTACCCGCACGGCAAGAAAATCCACATCCCCACCCCAAGCTGGGCCAACCACGCCGCCGTCTTCAAAGATGCCGGCCTCCAGGTCGAGAAGTACCGCTACTACAACAAGGACACCATCGGCCTCGACTTCGAGGGCATGATTGCCGATATCCAGGCGGCGCCTAGCAACAGTGTCTTCCTCCTGCATGCGTGCGCGCATAACCCGACGGGCATTGACCCGACACAGGCCCAGTGGCGCCAGATTAGCGATGTGATGAAGGCCAAGGGGCATTTTGCGTTCTTTGACATGGCCTATCAGGGCTTCGCGAGTGGAGATACGGACCGCGATGCGTTTGCGCTGCGCCATTTCCTGGAGGAGGGGCATGGGGTTGTGCTGTGCCAGAGCTTTGCCAAGAATATGGTAAGACTCGGAATTCAGGAACCCAACAGGGACATAGAGAGAAGGGGGATGAAGGGTGGAGAAGGCTAGGGGCCAACGGATAATCCCCTACCTCTGCTGGGGAAATACTGGCGGAGAAGTTCTACCCGTTGCTCATGCTAATTTCCTCTACCTTCTAGGGTCTGTATGGCGAGCGTGTCGGCACATTCTCCGTCGTCTGCGAGTCTGCCGAGGAGAAGAAGCGCGTTGATTCGCAGATCAAGATCCTCGTCCGGCCCCTGTACTCCAACCCACCCATCCACGGTGCCCGCATCGCCTCGACGATCCTCAACGACCCAGCCCTCAACCAGCAGTGGCTTGGCGAGGTGAAGGGCATGGCTGACCGCATTATCAAGATGCGTGCGCTCCTCAAGGAGAATCTGGAGGCGCTGGGGAGTAAGCATGATTGGAGCCATATTACCAGCCAGGTATGTTATTTGTTTTTCTTATTTTTTCCATATGTTGTTGTTTGTCTGTTGTAATATGCGTGCAACTACGATTGAAGGCTAACGATGATACTCTTTTGTTAACGATATAGATCGGAATGTTCGCATATACTGGCTTGAAACCTGAGCAGATGGACAAACTTGCTAAGGAGGTACGTTCTAATACATGTCATAAACATGTCACAGTTTCTCTTTCTCTCTTTTCTTTAACACCAGAACTCTCTCTCTCTCCCATTTTTTCTTCTTCTTCCTCAGGGAACCACAACTAACACATGCTGTTTTCTCCTTCTCTAGCACTCCGTCTATGCCACCAAGGACGGCCGCATCTCCGTTGCCGGTATCACCACCGCCAACGTCAAGAGACTGGCTGAGTCCATCTACAAAGTCACCGGATAAAAAAAGAAAGAAGAAGAAAAAAAGAACAAGAGCGTCTTTGACCTAAACACTGTCCTCCCTCTCCCTTCCCAAAAGCAGTCGGCTCTATTGAGGAAAAGAAAATGTTAAGATTAGAAACTAGATTTTGTATTCTTCCTTGGCGTGTCTCTACTGGCCAGCAACTCCCCTTAACTGTTTCTCTCTTTTATTTTGGTTTTGTTTTTTGTCTGTCGTTGTTTTATTATTATTATCATCATTATTGTGTGTACCCTGCTAAGCCTTTTTTTTATTGCGTAACGATGTACTTGTACGTTTTTTCTTAAAGTTTCCCTTTTGTGTGTGTGTGTGTGTATGTGTTCATCGTGACTATCTACTAGCAATTCTTTTTTTATAAAATGGTTTTATTTCAATGCTTCCTGCTACATTAGAATTAACTTCTCCTTCCCTGTCCCTTTTTTCTCTTCTTATTCTCCCCTTGGCGTTAATGCGGCCGCTGGACCCCTATAGAAACCGGGGTGTAGGGCGAATTGCTCGGCATATTGTCTGTCTCAAATCCCCCATCGACCTCAACCCCAGAGACAAACCGGGCTAGCCTGCGCATATTCCTGATTCCTGCCTTGCGTCAATGCATGCATGCTATCTGCTATGCTATGCTATGCTATGCTATGCTACCTTGCGAGGTTCTGAAGGAGCAGATTCTCGCAGAGAATTGGAGCCCGGATGCGAGTGCGAATACGAATGCGGGTAGTAACTTATTCTAAAGTACAGGTTTTTGTTTTGAAGCTTTTGAAGTCGTGGGACGGCAGGTATACAATATCATTGCAATTCTGTATATATATATATTGTATGTACGTGTATATGTATATGTATATATATATGTAATGGCTTTTATATGTCTGTTTTCCAGCAGCATTCGTAATATAATAATGTGATTTCTACAGCATCGTTGTTTACCGTACCGTAATGCGTGTAATCTTACCCTCACATGCCGTGCCGACCGAGCATTTCCTGGTCTCTGATTGGCCAAATGTAGGCCGACCGAAACAAGAAAACGCCGGCATTTCCACAGTCGACGTAATGTGTCTGGTAACTAGTTACCAGGCGGATACCTCTTTCCCCAGCATCCTACAGCTGGCGGCGGAAGTACCTCCCGTGTATCTTCTGCATGTGCCAGCAGCTTCCCCACCAGCAAACTCGGCAAACCTTGGATAACTTCAAGCATTTCCACATACAGTAATATTTATCATCATCGCCAGAGTGTTGTTGCTGCTCCAAGTTTACTCCTACTACTGGTGATTCACTATTCCCCCCCCTTTCTCCCCCCCCCCCCCCCAACGAACTTCTTCTCTCATCTTCTCTTTCTCTTCTCTTCGCTTTATGTTACAGTAATTATATATATACATCTGCTCAAGAGAGTGAGGCTCACATTCCGAGGTACCATTCCTCATCCCGGTTACCATCTCCACTATGACTTCCTCTGCAGTACTTCCTGTCGCCTTGCAGAACAAACTCGTGTCCGCCAGTAGATCCTCCTCGCGCATCTTTTCTTCATCAACCTTCAATCTGTATGTGTAGTTATACAATCTATATATCCCCATAAACGGTTCCTTCAACTCCAGGACTAAAAGAAACACCACCTCCCACTAGACTCCGCAATATCGTCTTCTTCTTCTACGTCTTCCGCTTCGTCCGGAAATCCTTCTATACCGTCCGTGGCCACGGCCCCATAGGTACCATCCGCAATGCCTGCTCCTACATCCGCCTCGTTCTCTACTCCCTCTTCCTCCGCGCCCCCGGTGTCCGCAGCAAGGTGGACAAGCAAGTGTCCACCGCCATAACGAAGCTGGAAGCAAAGCTTGCCCCAACTACGCCCGGCATCCTCAAAAACACAAACCTGCCCAAACAGGGTTGGACCCCCGATTACATTCGCGCGGAGCTAGATAAGCTCCTGGGTATGAAGCATACCAAGTGGCAGGAAGGCAGAGTCAGCGGCGCTGTTTACCATGGCGGCGACGACTTGATTGGGTTGCAGACGACTGCTTTCAACCAGTTTGCTGTTTCGAATCCTATCCATCCTGATGTCTTTCCTGGTGTGAGGAAGATGGAGGCGGAGGTGGTGGCTATGGTGTGTTTTCTTTTCTTTTCTTTTCTTTTCTTTTCTTTTTTTTTTTTTTAGGGGAGAGCTTCTTATCCCGCTTCATTCTCATCTCATGCATTAATGTATCCCCGCGTAGGTGCTGGGGCTGTTCAATGCACCAGAAGACGGTGCAGGAGTGACTACTGGCGGCGGCACTGAGTCGATTCTCATGGCCTGTTTGTCTGCGAGGCAGAAAGCCTACGTTGAGCGACGAGTTACTGAACCAGAGATGTAAGCTTCCCCAAATTCCCCCCCTTAAAGATCAATTCGGCCGGCCGCTTTTTCTGTTCAGAAAAACTAAATTTATTCTAGGATCATCCCCCAGACCGCTCATGCAGCTTTCAATAAAGCTTGTCAATATTTCGGCATCAAGCTTCATATGGTCCCCTGTCCCGCTCCCGACTACAAGGCTGACATTCGCGCCGTCCGCCGCCTGATCAACCCAAACACAATTCTCCTTGTCGGCTCAGCGCCAAACTACCCACATGGCATCGTTGACGACATCCCGGCCCTCTCCCGCCTAGCCGTTAAGCACAAAATCCCCCTGCACGTCGACTGCTGCCTGGGTTCCTTCGTCATCTCCTTCCTTAAACGCGCCGGCTACCCTTCCCCGTATGAGGAACAGGGCGGCTTCGACTTCCGCCTGCCAGGCGTCACCAGCATCAGCGTCGACACGCACAAATATGGCTTCGCCCCCAAGGGCAACTCCGTCGTCCTCTACCGCAACCGCACCCTACGCAGCTACCAATACTTCATCCTCCCCAACTGGTCAGGCGGCGTCTATGCGTCCCCTTCCATAGCCGGCTCGCGACCCGGCTCCCTCATTGCCGGCTGCTGGACCAGTCTCATGGCCATGGGCGAGTCCGGATACATCGACAGCTGCCACCAGATCATCACCGCAGCCCGCACCTTCGAGCAGGCCATCCGCGAACATCCAACCCTCTCCAGCGCGCTAAAAGTGCTCGGCAAACCAATGGTCAGCGTCGTGGCCTGGGACTCCGCGACGCCGGAAATCGACATCTACGACATTGCCGACGCGCTGTCGGCCAAGGGCTGGCATCTGAATGCCCTCCAGGCCCCGCCTGCGATCCACGTGGCGTTCACGGTGCCCACGGCTGGGGCGGTGGAGAAGCTTATTGCGGACCTTGTTGCTGTTGTGGAGCAGGAGAGGGAGAAGGCGGCGGAGCGGAAGCGGTTGGGGCTTAAGGTTGAGAAGGGGAAAGGGGATGCGGCGGCGTTGTATGGGGTTGCGGGGAGTATTCCTGATAAGAGCATTGTGAGTAGGCTTGCGGAGGGGTTTTTGGATACGTTGTATCTTGCTTGATTCTTGAAGAAATAGTGGGGGGGGAGTGGGGGGGGAACAATAGGTGAGGTGCGATGTGTCCGGTGTCAAAAGAGGGAAGGCCGGGGGTGGGGAATGCATTGCTGGTCTGTTTGACAAGCTGGCGTTATCTTCGTTATTCTACTTGTCCTTTTTCCTTTTCTTTTTTTGCTTGAATGGACCTGTGCATATACTATATGTAATCCTTCCTGTTTCTTTTTTTCTTTTTCTTTTTCTTTTTCTTTTTCTTTCCTTTCCTTTTTCTTTTTCTTTCCTTTCCTTTCCTTTCCTTTTCTTTTTGTTCCTGGCCGCATGTCTGTAAATACATTGAAGGGAGGGGCTAATGTGTCCTTGGACGTTTCTATATATCCTACGGAGTATTTTGTGTCCTGTTTGTTTATACCTGTTCACTTGTTTCAATATAGATTTTACTAGGATAGTTCTCTTCTCTCTGATCAAGGTGGTAGGTAGGTTTAAAAGTTAGGCAGGCAGTTCTTTTCAAACGGGGGAGGTGGAATGAATATGGGTTGCACATGTCTAGAAAATGATAGTGGTCAATGGCAACAATAATGAAACAATTCTTATATCTTTGAATTAAGTTAAGTAATAGGAAAGGGGGTGGGGTGGGTGGTTTCTGGCTGAATAATATACAAAACTTCATTGTACTGTACAGTGTAAGTATGCGGGGAGCTCGGGCGGAAAGTGGTCGAGGAGTTCTTGATTGATAAGATCGTCGAGAGGTCGGGTAAGGCACGTTCGAAACGGACCGATCTGTTTATCCATGTTACCAAGGTAGTTTGTGGATATTTATGTGTATCGGTGTTGGTCCATGTCGCAAAAGAAGGGGGAGGAGGGGAGGAGGGGAGGAATAGCCCAATCTACTTCTGCTAGATTGATCAGGGCGTGCGAGAATTGTTGATATGGATGGTTGGTGGCGATGTGATGATTGCGAAGAAACGGACACGCAATGCAGCTCCCGGCCACGGGGTTGATATAAAAAAAAAAAAAAAAAAAAAAAAAAAAAAAAAAAAACATAAGGGGCTGTAGTTGGACTCGCTCGCAAGGCCGTATGCCCCGTTCCTCCAGCCCAAGCCAACCAACCCCCTTATAACAAACAAAATCTATATATACATATAAAACCCAAATAAACTAAGTGATAAAACCATCCCCCCAGATCATCACGCCTCCCTCTTCGCCCTAAAAACCTCATCCGCTCTCTTCTCAACGTAATACCCCGGGTCAGGTTTCCGCTCCAAATGCACCTCTAGCTTCGTCAGCGGCCGCTCGACCTCCCGCACTGCCACCAGCTCTTTCACTTTCATGATCTGCCCGGCCACATCGGGCGATACGGGGTAGAAGACGGTTTGCATACGCTTCTTGAGGCCCAGGGCCATGAGGACGCCTGTTGTTCGCCGCGGTAGGCCGATGGCGGAGCGGATGAGGGTTATGCGGAAGTAGGTCATTTTTGCTTTGTACTGGTGGGGGGTGCCCGAGGATTGGGGGTGGGGAGGGATTAAATTGTTTGAGAGAGAGCGCGCCGCGAGGGGAAGCAGAGTGTGTGCTTGTGTGTATATATGTTATTTTGTGTGACTCGTGGTCGTAGGTCTGTCACGTAGCAACGGTTAAACTGCTCAGTTTCCGGTGGAGGACGCGGGCGGGGAGGTAAATAAATAGGCGGGTTGTTTTGCCGTTCTTCTGTTGGCCTCCGTTATTTTCCTATTTTCCCTCGAACACTGCTCTTTGTCCTGCGACTTCTCCTTTTTAACGCAACACAGACTGCGTAGCTGCAACCTTCTTCCTCGAGTTGGAGCAAATCGCTTACGCTCAGCTACGCCCCGGAGAACGCAGTTGGTTCTTCTTCGTTTCACAGGGATTCCGCTTCTTTCTGCTCTCAAGTTTTGCCGAACACTAAGGCCTTTGTTCCATAGGTATAGCACAATCGCGATTCCAAGTACTCCGCTATTCACTATCTTGCGCTGATAAATCCACCTGAGCAACCTCAGATAGACGTTATCCAAACCCAAGTTCCGTTCAACAACACAGCTCCTGCTGCGATGGTTCAAGTAAAATTGGGGATTTCCTTCTCGTGAGTTTTGCAATTCCCAAGCCGAATTGATCTGATATAAATGGCAGTCCCCTTTCTTGCCAATTGAATTGCTAGTATCGATATCAACGCTGTCGTTGCAAGCCAGACGAAATATTTCCAGCGAAGACAGTGTCGGATAATCGATAATCCCGAGCCAATGTCGACCCGCCAAATCGGGCAGCCGAGTGTGGCTGGTGACTCGTCCACATCCAGTAAGTTTTTCCGGGCGAGTATGTGCCCCGACGCCACGCTTTCTGTGGCGCAGCGAGCCGCCGCCATCGAGCAACTTATCAACCGCAGTGAGAGCAAAGAGACGACGATCCGGGCTAAAAGGGACCGTGAGAAGCTGCGGGATGCGGTGGC